TCACAACACAGCATTCCATTTTGTTCCTCCCTCATATGTACTTTTTATTTTCTTTTTTTTAAAAAAATTATATTGTTTTAACTTTTAGTTCTTAGTGATTCCTTTTGTGTTTTTCTTGCTTGGGGTTAAGAAAAAATGCTGATCTTCAAGATGTTTCTAAGCAAATGTGAAACATTTGGGCCATTATTTTTTCAAAAACCCATCTCTCTTCTTATTCTATAGTCATTTTTATATTCTTGGTATTTTGCATAGGCCTGAAGACTTTCATTAATTATCTATTTTTATAATTTAAACTTGATGACTTATTTATTTTGTTATCTGCTCAAGCTTCATACCCATTTATTAGCAATCCCCCAAGTGATAGTAAGTCATACTAAATAAATGAGGTTTTGTAATGTTAAGATAAATTTTAATTAAATATAGTTCCATCCCTTTCTCCCTCCCTTTTCTTCCTTCTAGCTCCTCCCATGTCTCCTTCCTACAACTTTTTCCATGCCCAGCTCACTTCCTTTCAAATTGATGGCCTCTTTTTGTTTTCTTTACTTTACAATACACACACACACACACACACACACACACACACACTCACAGGCGCACTCATATGTAGAACAGCATAAATTTATAAATAAAAGCTGCTGAATCTGCTTTTTTTGTTTGAGTGTTTCAAGCTGACCACTTTGATTGGATATCCAGTTAGGAGGCTTATTGCTGGGAGAGGGTAATTCTCCTCTCTCAGCAGGCAGTTACTGGTTGCTGTAATTCTTTGTCTAGGGAATGGACCTTTCAAGACTTTTCTCCATCTACATTAGCATACCTATTGATAGTGTCACTGTTCAGGTCTTGTTAGAGAGCCAATTCTCAGAGGCATTGTCCCATAGCAGATTCCCTGATCCTCTGGCTCTTAGAATATTTTATTTCAGATTTTCACTTTGTACCTTCTTGCTTTTTTGTGTTGCTTTAAATTCATTTCTGAAAAATTCCCCAATATTTCAGTCATCATCTTCTTTTAAACCATTCATTATCAGTTCTAATATCTATGTCACCTTAGAAATCTCTATCAATTACTTTTTCTCTTGATATGGGTCATGCATGATATAGAAAGTTTGAGTTGCATTGACTATCTTTAAATAGTGATGCATACTATTCTAGAAGATATTCTATAGTGTAACATAAAGTATTTACAACCTTTGTTTTATTTCCTGTTAAATTAGGTCAACTTGGATTATCATGAGAATGGTCTTCACTCTAGGAAATTATTCTTCCCCCCATGTAGTCTTCTAGAGCTCATAAGAATGACAGAAACTTTCAACAGTTGATGTCCTTTATTTTAGTTTAGTTTAAGTAAGTGTGTGTGTGTGTGTGTGTGTGTGTGTGTGTGACTGTGCCTTGGGAGCTTTTGGGACTTCTGTTATCATTTTATTCTTAGCCCTGAAGCAGCTTCTGCCTTGTATGCATTATGATACCCCATCTTGAGGATGCATTGCCCAACCCTTACTTAAAAGTCCACCTTGTAATCCCATAGAGGTTCCCATAATACTCCTGGCTATGTACAAAAATCACTTCTCCATTTCCAGCAACTGCAGAAGCCTCATTAATGTCTAGAGCTTAGCTCAGGGAGCTTAGACTTCATCTTTATGAACCCTGCTGAGATGATCATGCCACAAGACAGAAGAACTATTACAGCCTCACCTCTTAGGTTTCTTTTCTCTTAAGTACCATAAGTCTATCCTGATTATTTTCTGGGCTTGGGATAGTTTGTCTTGTATTGTTTATTTGGGTATATTATTGCTTATAGTGACAGCACCCCTAATAACATTTATTCATTGACCACTAAATGTAGCATTCTTCAATACTATATTATAATGGGATGATATATGTGTGATTATATAGTTAATTATACTGCCTATAAAAGAAAGAAAAGGGAAGATACAGGAACATGTCAAAGTTCTTCATGCTCTTTGCTTTACATTATTAGACATTCCTTGGGGAATAATCTTAGGACTGAAATCACAAGGGTGAATGGACAGATAGCAGCTTATTCAAAAGCTCCAGGGCTGAAAGGAGTGGTATATTCATATAAAAAAGAAAAATAAGCTCTAACATTCACTGGGTTCATATTACAGAATTATCATTGAACCAGTATTCCGTATGTTATTCCACTGGATAGACATTGTGCTTAACTTATTCTCCTAAAGAGGAAAACTGAAATAGAGAGAGATTAAGTAACTAAACCTAGGTCTGTGCTGAGATACATCCTGGGGCTGATTTTTTCTAGGCCAGGACACTAAACCAATACATTTTTAAAGAATAAACGTGTAGCATGACCTGACATCAGGGAAAGGAAAAAGAATAAGAGGAGAAAGAAAATTAACATGACCACACCCTGTCCTCTAATAGCCTTTAGTAGTTACTTTCACCTCACTAAAACCAAACTATCTGATGGAGATCATATAAAAGAGAAAATGTTATTTGGGATCATGGTTGCCTAGGGTTTCAGAGCATCATGGTAGGTAAGGCATGCTGGGTGGAGTAGTTTAGATCATGCGGGTACATATCTATGGTAGAAACTTTATCTTAAGGCAGATCAGGAAGGAGAAGGAGACAGGAAGTAGGCGAGGAAAACATGGCCTAGTTACCATATCTTCCAGGTAGGCCCCAATTAAACCCCACCCACTCCCTTGAGGAATCCATAATCTACCCAAATAACACCATCAGCTAAGGACCAGCTAATGAAAATGTATGCCTATGGGAGGTCGTTCTAATATTCATACTCATAAAAATATAAAATTTTTTAAACCAAAGACACATTTAAAATAATTTCCTGAAGAAAACAGATGTTTAAAGTGTAATGATATCTACAAGACCACTTAGAGTGAAATAATAGAAAGCAGGGACTTGTAAAGTTTAATTTAAAGTGACAGCTTGTTGAATTTACCAACTAAGAGGTGGGGCAACACGGGTAATACTACCAATTGTGAGTGGGTGGCAGGAGGGGTCTTCCCCTCCTCCCATAAAGCCTGAGCTGGTAAATACCAGAGTTCATGAAACAAACAGAAAATCAAGCAACAGGAAACGTTTCTTGAATTTCTGACAAAATTACAGAGTCTGGCTAGATGTTGAGAAATCAAAACTGAAGCAAAGAAGCCAGGATAGAAGCTCCCTTGGGATTGGTCTGTGTTCCGATATAGGCTAGCAAGCTCTTCCTCCTCAAATTCTTTGTCTCTTACTTTTGACAGGGCGTGATAAAATGAGACACTATAGGGCTGGTAGAGCAAGCAAACAGGAAGGCTCTCTCCACGGCCAGGTGGAGACAGGAAGGGACAATTGGCCATAGGAAAGTGTTTCAAACGCAGACTGGGGATACAGATGTTGACAACTGGCTGACTACGAAGTAGGGTGTAGCATACACCTTAGGATGGCAGAAAGGAAACAACAGAGAAAATGATACAGCAAGCCAGCCCGAGGATGAAACGTAGGACCTCAAAGCCACAGAATTTCCGAAGAAGGGGATGCCTAGGTGAGAGGGTTCTTCCTGAAACAGAACAAGGAAGCAAACTGACATGTATGCTGTGTAAATCAGACTTAAAGGTAGAACTTGATAATGGGTGTTTCCATGCCCAATGTGAATTTGTTGACCTTTTATTTCCTGCCACAGTCTGAGCGTAAGCTGAGGAAGTCAAGAGAGAATGGTGTTCCATACAAGCCAGGTAGCCAGCTTGGGAGGATGGTCCATGAATTCTGACACCAGAAAAGACAACTTGGCCAGTGGTCAATGAGCTAGAGCAGTAAGGAGGGGAGGGGATGGAAGGGCCACAGAGTGATGCAGTGTCAGATCATGGGCAGTCTGAGGGACCTTGGTCCCAGACAGCATGAGGTTCTAGGAGGGCTCCTAATCAGGGTGATCTGATTTGATTTGCACATTTACCTCTTCATTATGTCACTCCCGCACATGGGAGTTCTAGCTGTTACATTTTTGTGGTGAGGTGGAGATGTGTCTCTCGGATCAGGGTCAGGACTTGCTTAAAATTCCACGTTAGAAACAACTAAGTAGACATGGAACAGAGCACATATTTGCCAGGTCCCCATCACAAGGCATTCCAACTTCAAATTTAATTGATTCTTTTATGGTTGCTTTAGATCAGACCGTTTCCAAACTAATTCTGGGGAAGCAATCATATTACCCAGAAGATACAGGCTTTCAGGCATTTTGAGTAGTTAGGATGTTGTAGAATTCAAAGTCATGGCTTGCTGACATGACACGTTGTCTCGGACACTTCGTGGCTTGCCTATGGAGTCACTGCTAAAGTTATCTCCAACTGCCTGAAGTCATGGATACACTCCTATGGCACCAGGCTCTAATCCTGGGTTAACGTTATTTCCCGAAACACGCCTTGCTTCCTTTGCAATGGTTTCACTGAATAAGCTCCATTCATTAATGTCACCAAGTGAAAAATGTGAAGGATTTCTACATATCCGGACTCCTCAACATATGCAAATGAGACTGCCTGTCAAGGACATTGATTTTCTCACTTTCAGGGAAGGCAAAGGTACTGCCAGGTGATTGCTGTGTGAGTGATTTATGAGAACACCCACCTCCTTTGTAATCAAAGACCGGAGCCATGAGAAGAGAAGATTGTGTTGCAGGCCCTTAACATTGGTTTGAATACTGAAATTTCAACCCAACATTTTACAGTGGTATTTGTTATACTTTCGATCTGAGACCCGAAATAAGCCACCAAATTTTACTCTTGTCATCCACTGAAAATCCTTTCATTCTGTCTTTGTTTGATAATCGGCACCTTTAAAGCCACATACGTTTATATAAGTCGTAAATAAGGAAACCAACTTTGGGGGCCATAACCCACTGCCTGCATTCGCCTGCGTGAGCACCTAGCTGGCTGTCTCCCCATCCTGCTTGCTCAACTTCCCTGGTGAGCCCTGCAGCCCTGTGGGTTCCTCTGTGCAGATGGCACTAACAGAACCGATCATGTATTTTCTAGGTTTCCTCTACACTCAGAACAACACCAAGCGCAGCATTAAAGAGCGGCTCATGAAGCTCTTGCCCTGCTCGGCTGCCAAAACGTCGTCTCCTGCTATTCAAAGCAAGTTTCCTTTCCTTTTCGCCCCCAAATTGTTTGATTTGCTTGTTTAGGTCCACACGCAGTGCAATTTCTGATTCTAAAAAGAATCGATATATTATCTCCTGTGAAGAAATGTCTATTTACAGCTCTTGTTTATCTGAAACGCCGAGGAACAGCAACGGGCGCTTTCTGTTTGGCAGGCTGAAAGCTACCAAGCTTTCAATAACAGAGGCCCATGCTTGCTGACACCAAGGCATTTCTGTTTCCTTGCAAGCCTGGGGAGTAGCCTCGAGGATTGCTTTGCCTGACATGGTTGCGCAGCAGCTGACAATTTAAGCTGTTTTACTTTGCAAGTTTCCTTTTCTTTTTCTAGTTGCCACATAAGAGGTCCCTATTTGTGGAGTGTCATGTAGTGTTTTGGTACAGTATATTCTGCCTAATGTTCAGACTGATAAACATTATCACATTCCCAAACATGTATCTTTTCTTTGTTACAAAATATCCAAACCTCCACTTCTAGCTTTTCCTGATAAATGACATATTACGGTCACCAATGGCAAGTGATATACAACAGAACCCTTATCTAACTATAACTCAGTAACATCCCTCATCCCTTCTTCCCAGCTGTGCGTCTCAGTACCTGGTGCACACTATCATACTCTCAACTTCTATGAAATCGACTTTTTAAAATTCTGTCCATGAATGAAACTATGCAGTTTGTTATTCGGTGCCTGGCTTACTTCACTTTATGATGTGTTCCTCTGCCCATGTTATCACATGTGACAACTTATTCTTTTTCAATCTGAACAGTGTTGCTCTGTATATATGAACCAAACTGAATATACGCATTTATCTAGTAATAATTATCTAGTAGGTTAATTCTTTTTCTTAGCGACAGTGAATAGTTCAACAATGAACATAGAAGTACAGGTGTCCCTTTAACATAGCAATTTCATTTACTATAGAGAGAGATTGCTAGATACATAAAGATACACATAAAGAAATATCTTTATTATTTTTATTCAATTTCTATTGTAATTTCATGATTTTCTTTTCCTTTGGTTATCCTCTGGCCACATTGGTTAAGGTTCTCTAAAAATCAGAACCAATACAAAAACACAATCACAAGCACAAACATACATGAACATACTTTCATATTATATAGGTACATATATATATTCCTATGTGAATATTTATGTTTAAACACATACACATAAATAGAATTATTTTGGCTCATAGGACTGTGGCGATGGATGGCCTGGAAAGTTAGGCAGCATTTGATCCTGTGGAATAGAATCAGAATTCTTCCCAAGGAAGCCTTGTCTTTGTTTAACACCTCAACTGATTACATGAGACTCACCCACTATATCCAGAGTAATTTGTCCTTTACTTGTAGTCTACCTATTGTAACCATCACCACTTTTGTACGCTATCTCCACACCAACACTTAGGGTTTAATTAAATAATTGAGCATTCTGGCTTAGCCAGGCTGACACATGAAACTAACTACTGCACTGATCTTCCATATCTTTCTTGACAACTATCTGGCATTTTTGTGGATTATAGATAGAGAACTCCTAAAGAGAAAACATTAGTTAATTTTATAAAGATAATAAATGTCACTGACCCTGTGAACTTACAAGGAGTATACATACTAAATATTTACATTAAAATATGTCCAAGCACCAAATTACTCCTGGAATCATACAAGAGAGGGCGATCATTCATAATAAGAAAATAGAGCATAAAACAATGAGGAGAAATATCCAAATTGTGTATCAAGAGACAGTATCTCCACCTACCTTCTTTAAAATCTACCATATTATTTTGTAGACACCAATGATTCAACTGGTAATTTAAAATGTAAATAAATACCATCACACTCCACAACAGAAATGGAGAAAATTTGGAAGGGACCTCACAAAAAAGTATATTGAGTCAAAAGTCCTAGAACTAAAAAAACAAAAGTTATTTTGAATGGTGCTATATCACATTAGTGAGACCCAGCAGGCATGGGACCCATTCAATGAATATTTTTCATAAGCTAGTCACTGTGAATTGTGTTGAGAGCAGTCAATAAACTGTATTTTAAAACACAGAGCAAAATCCAAAACAGTAAACACATAGATGTCTACCCAACCTGATCATGCACAAAAGTAAAGAAATGATTTTTCCTGGTAGAAATTCCATGTGCAGAATCATTGAAAGTATTATTGTGGAATACTGTTTTATCTTTTTCTTTCATTGCACACTTACATACACACACACGTAGAGACACACAACAGCTCACTACTCAGTCAACAGCTACCCACAAGGCTGTAACAAAGAGGAATGAACAGCTTTAATCTGATATGATGCCGAAGCTATGGAGTTTAGCACTGCTTGTCAGAGAATGGCTGGCAATTGGAGGTAATGCTTTTCTCCTTCCAAGGTGGAATCAACATTGCCAAGTTATCTGATATTTGCTGAAAACACAGTCATTCATAGCAAATGTACAGGGAAAATGTAAGTGTCAAATGAGTGTCTGTATTTGCTTAGTGAAGAACAAAACTGTCAGCTTCTGCTGGCATTTTCCCTGCATGAAACACTAGCAAAAACAAATCAGTTTAATTCTGTCTCGCTCTAAAAGGAAGTTTCTTGGCATTATAGCCTAGCAGAAAATATTTCTAAAGACAAAAAATGAGAATATTTAAAATCTTATATTTGATAAATACAATATACTATACATTAGGGGAATAAAATTACATTATGACTTGATTCCATGTCTTTCAGGATGTTATTATGGAGAAAATTAATAGCAACATATTATGGTGAAAATTTTATATATTCTATATATCCTATATATTTGTATACATCAACTAAAAGGAATGTAAATGAACCCCAACACTAAGGAAAACATGTGAAGGTACCACAAAATCCACAGCAGAACTAGCCTGTAACTCAGGTAACTCATTCTTGGGTAGATAAACAAAGAATTCTGAGTCAATATACAACAGTGATACCTGTACATTCCTGTATATTATAGCACTATTCAGAACAACCAAGTTATGCCATCAATTTAGGTGTATATCAACAGATGAATTAGGAAACTATCAAATTAATAATAGAGTTATTTTTATGAATACTAGATTTTATAATGATACTTAAAGCCACATACATAAGATATATACAATTATGCTTAAAATACATGTATATATTAAATATCTACATTTTATACTTGAAAGAAAATGTTTGTTAAACCCAGGACATATACAATTAATGTTACCAGTTTTTTAAAACTAGAAAGTAGCTGTTGTTTACATCATGCTAGATGAATAACATGATTATTGACCCTGAACATCTTCAGATGTAAAAGTCTCTACCCAGTAGCAACCATAACAAGTACCCAAATCTAACAAGAAAAGTCATCAGGTAGGAAAAGAGGACAATGTGTCTTACTAAGGGTTTTTATTGCTATAAAGAGACATCATGATCATTTAACTCTTACATAATAAAAGATTTAATTGGGATGGCTCACTTACACTTTCAGAAGTTCAGAATTTCAGTTCTTTATCATGGCAGGGAGCATAGAAGCATGTAGGCAGATGTGGTGCTGAGCTCAGGGTTTTTACATTTTGATAGGCAGGCAACAGACCTATCAAACAGTCAACTGACCATCACACTGAGGGAACTTTCATAGAAAGAAACTTCAAAGTCAGCCCCCACAGGGGCACACTTTCTTCAATAAGGCCACACCTCCTAATAACCTCGTAATAGTGCCACTCCATTTGGGGGCCGTTTTCTTTCAAACTACAACACACTGTTAGCCAAGAAATCATATTAACTCCCTACTGTGGAAGAGAAACTAACAGTTGCAAACAATGTAAAAGTATACACTGTGAATATGGATAAGCAGCAGATAAGCAGAGGCCTATAGGCTCCTAGAAGAAAGGTATAACTACGCAATGTCTGGACTTAGGTAAACTGGACATGAGCCTTGACTAACCTGAGATGTTCAAGCCATGACTGACCTTAGAGTGGCAGAGGGAGTGTTCTATATGTGATATCATGAGACTTCCAGTGTGGTGTGTCTGACAGCTTCCTATGGGAAGCCAAGCCTTTTGTTAAGTCATGAAGCACTTTGAGCCCGGAATTAGAAACCTTAAAACTTGAAGGATCATGCAAAGACTGTGTTACGGGCAGTTTTCCTGCCAGCCTGGACTCTCTGCCCCATCAGCTCCAAATAACACACAGAGACACTTAATAGATATAAAGTTGTTGGCCTGTTACTAGTTTTTTTTTTTTATTGGCTAACTCTGTCTTAAATATTAACCCATTTCTATTAATCTAAGTATTTTCATTTGGTCTTATCTTACCAGAAAAAGGGTCTGGACCTCTTACTCATCTTGGTCCTACATTTTGACTCTCCAACTTTATCTCCCAGAATCCTCCTTGTCTTCTAGTCCCACCTATCTTGCTCGTCCCACATAATAACATAATGACTTCTCCCACCATATCTGATCTCCCCGTTTAGTACACCTAACCTGAGAGCAAGACATGGTGAGTTTGCTTCCTGTCCTTTATCACGGTCTGTTCTTCACCACACCCTCTTCATCCCCCAATCCTCAACTTCAGTCACTTACTCAATGCAGACTTGAAATGTTATTCCTGCTGTGCATGCATCACATTAGAGCATTAAAAGAGGGGAAAAAGTTTATGAAAGACCATGTTTCCAATTGCTTGGATATAACTAATAAAAGGTAAAAAAAATTATAATATCCCAAATTAATGTTTTAAGCACACATCTCAACTTTGATAGTTGAGACAACTGTCAAACCAAAGTCCAAACTTCTAACTTTCTTAGCACGGTTTTGGAAAGTCTGCGTTTGAAGAGAAAGAAGTAGTCAATTCAAGCAATGGTCTATGTCCTTTACCACTCAATCCATCTAGTGGTAGTTGAAAAATAGAAATTGATGTAATCTAGTGAGCATTAACTTAGGGTGTAGAGTTCTTCCTGGTGTTAGCAACTCTTGAACAAGAGTGAGA